TTACGTAATTACGTTTTTAAAGAGTGAAAGTGGTAATTAATTACGTTAATTACGAATTACGTATTTATGGTAATTAGCTAATTACCATATCATGTATAGCTGGCACACTGGTCGAAAAGTTACCTGCAATGATCCCACCTCTAGGGTAAGGATGGCACTGTGATCAAGTCGCAACTCTGCTGATGAATTGTAGTGCCATGTAAACATCAAAGCAATGAGAATCTGCAACTTGTTTCAAGCACAGGAGGTCACAATTCAGTGCAGGGTTTGTGGCCCTGAAATTGCATTGGGCTCTGATGTTAAGAGGAAAGTTGTAAAATAGTGTTTATTTTGTATAATCATTTTCATAAATTCTCTGTTTCTCTTTAATTTTTGTTGACCAACTGAATTTGTTGTTTTTTTAAATGTGAACTTTTTCCCATATAACCTCCTACCCTAGGTTAAAGGAGTGTAGCTCAATGAGAGCATGTATCTTACAAGTATAAAGATGGCAGTTTGATTTTTCCATTTCTATTGTGATAGTCACCATGATCACTGGCACCAAGGAGAAAGCTGTAAAATAAAATGGTTCAAATTTTGTTTGGTATGTTATAATTTAATCATTTTCCCAAAATTTTCTGCTTCTCTTTAATTTTTATTTGACCAACTGAATTTGTTATTTAAATAAATAGGGTATGGTTATTGGCAAGTAGTCATGCCACTGACAAGACAGGAGATGCTTTTGAGATATACCAGCCAAACTCATAGAAAGGGATCTTTTGTCCAGACTTAGGGTCACATGGATGTTAAGCACAGAAAATGTACACTATCAATGTATATTTTTTTCAACAAAATAAGCATTTAAATAACTAATTGTTAAATATTAATACTTTTCTTTTCATAAAAATTACAGCAACCCAGGACTCAACTCTGAATTCAGGGAAAATCCAAAACAACAACCCAGGTTGTAACCTCCTGAGTTACTGAATTTTCAACCAGTTGCAGGTGCCAATTTTTATGCTAGTGTGGCAATAACATGCAGCAATCATCCACACAAACACCAGCTATCAGTGATCAATGCCCATATGGTGACAGTCAAGCCTGGTCTGAGGGAAAGATAAGGGAATGTTTTATCCAAAGCCTTCCAACAGAGGGCACCCTTACCTGTGGAAAAAAATCTACAGTTATGAGGCGTGCTTAATTGCACCCAAACTTGTGTTGGTGATAGGAAATTTCAATTAAATCTGACATCTGCAATCAACATCAGATTTATTATTCATAAGGAACTACAATTGATAATCAGGAAGAATAATTTATTACTGTGAACCCCAGAGATCTGGGTAGACATGCATTATTAAAGTTTGTTTATGGCCTTGGTATTGTTACTACCTGAGTGATGTAATTGTTTGTTATGTCAATGATGATATCAAATGTATCACATAATAATCATGACCATCATGAATATTTGATGGATGGAGGCATTCACATACAAGGAAATGAAGGAAATGATTAAATAGCCAAGTCATGTTGTTTTGTTAAAAACATATGATTAATTATACAATAAAAAAAAATTGTATTGAATCCAAAGACTGCATCACTATGTCAATCAAGCTATCAGGCTGTTATGTTTGTGCATGATTTAAAATTCTTTTGTGCTAATTTAAGGTCCCATTTTTCTTTGCTTATATATAATCTATTGGTTCTCTCTTTACTGGTCAAATGATGCCAAATTGGGTAATGGGGTATCAGCAAATATCAGAATCTGATTATAATATTCTTAATATTTTTATCACATAGTCTAAAAGCCCATTTGTAAATATCCGACTACTTTGTTACACAGTAAATCACGTGTTTTATAATTGTTTGTTTATTCTTGAATGGCCTAAATTCATAGAAAATTTAGGAATCCGGTTTGAATCGAATCGAGTCACGAATCAAATCGATTCGATTCGTCCGGAGCTTACAGATGATGATGAACCTTATTTTAAGAAAAGTCTGGGAAAAATACTAGTGAAAAAGTTGCTACACACATCCAGTATGTTTTAGACGAACATCATGATGGTGTAAGTAGATGAAAAATTTATCAAGAAAAAATAGATAGAATATTAGTAAGATTTGCCCTTAACCAATGTAATTTTATTGAAGGTATTTTAGTTTAATTTGGTTAATTTCTCATAAATTTACAGTATCCTGATGAAAATGATTCTGATATTGAACAGGAACCACAAAGTTCAAGTGTTAAGGATAATGAATAATTGAATAATTCATAATATTAATAATGATGTATATTGCTCTTGCACGTTAATTAATGATACTATTTATTGATAGCAAAGTATATCTTTGATAAAATAAAATTTTAACATGTATATATTTATGTCAAATAATGATGCGATCCTTGCATACAAGTAAATTTTTATAATTTAAATATGTGCATTATACATAAATTTTTTTTCATTTTATTACGTATACGTAAACCCTATTCTTACGAAGGGTATGTAAAGTAGATGCAAAAATATTACGTCAAATTGATAATAAAAATTTGTAAATAGATTCGTGAAATAAATTGACAAACATTGTATATAAAAGCTTGCAATTAATCAGTGAGGGTAGCTAAGAAGTTAATTCGAAATTCGACCATAAAACGTAAAACAATCGAGGTTGAAATATTTGCAGGTCCTGAAAAAATTTACCCAATATTCAAATATAACAAATTATTAAAATACCCTATTTTCAAATGTTACGTTTGAGGCCAATACCCGCCTTTTAAATATATTATCATCCAATATTGAAATGTACTTGAACCATAATAACAAAATAAATCAAACCTGTTAATAATGATGATATGTATGTAATTTATTGTTATTAGATGAGAGGATTTAAGTGTAAAATTTTAATCAAGCAAACAGTGCGTAAATTAATAATCAAGAATAATATTCATTTAATAAAATTTATAGATTAGAACTTCTATCAGTGGCCCATACTTGTGTTTAAAAGACGCCGGGTTTATGCGGCAACAAACTTTAATATTAAATTATGCATGCACAACACGGTAGATTACGCAAATTATAATCTTGAAATCTTTATTTGGTGATACAAAATTTTTATGGTAAAGCAATTTTCAATACATTAGTATGATGATGATTATAATTTCACTATTATTATCGTTATAGTAGTTATTTATATTGTAATCATATTTCAAATTGTTTTGAACTATGTTAATAGGCAAGTGATTAAAATCCAGGAGTTGCATCTTTAATTTCTTTTAGATTATCCAAGTAACAAAAGATCATGGCTAATATAAGGTTTGACCCAACGCTGTGGTTGTGGAAACCGATCCAAATTTTTGTAATACGTTTTTCAATGATCTTTAACAAACATTGCGTTTTTAAATAGTAGACCTATAGATAGGGTTGACCCAGCTATGGCAAAGCTTATAGTTTTGGGTCCTACTACTATGTTGTTGGTTGAAAGTTACACGAAAAATTGACTCGTGTCAAATTTAAGACCAATTATTTTTGATAAACTTCATTGCCAAGTGGATTGATGTATAATTGGAGACCCAGTCTAATAACAATTAATAATACATCTTAAAGTGTTAATAAATTAATGAAGAGAGTAACAAAACATCCCTTGTGACGGTTCATTATATATTTAACATATTTTTCTGGGTATAGTGGTGCAACCAAGTATCAATTTCCCACTCATCCTTGATGAGATTATCGGTTCCAATACCGTCATCATTTAATTACTACCACCATTACTTCCATAACTTCCAATAATTATAATTATTAATATTGACACTACTACCACTTTTACCGACAAATTTTTCTAAAATCAAAAAATAGCACATGCACTAATTCTAAATTAGTATGATTTTCATTAATCATTCAATTTGATCTTTGATAAAAAAAAGATTTGTTTTATGGTAATATAACATGTCGTTAACAAAAATTTCTAGAAATTTAATATTAATAAATCGTAATAAGCCAACAAAGCTCTTGTTAAATGATAATATAGTAGCTCCACATTTACTGCTACCAAATATAATAAAATATTCAACTTTATCAATAAATATCTACTCTAATAATCATCAACAGCAAAACTATAGAAAAGCCATTTCAACACGCGTCCGTCAATTTGTTACTAGTATTGTTGATGATAGTAGTAGTAGTTTGGAAACTGACGCAGAAGAAAAGTATCAAGAATTAAAACGAAAAATTAGTGAACTTGACCAGACAAAAATTAATTATTTGGCAGCAAATGAAGAATGCGACAAACTCAAAAATAGTGAGGATTGGAGTAGATTAGTGGTGGAATTTGTTGATGAAAATAAAATTACAATAGCACTTAAACTATTTGACAAGGTATAAAATAATATTTTCCTATTATTAATATTAATTAATGTTGTCATGATTATTATTAATGAATTTATCTTCGAAATAGATGAAATCATTATCATTGTTTCCTAACCAAGAAGCATTCACTGCAATGTTGAGAGGTTTAAGTGAAGAAAACGTTTCGGCAAACCCCGTAAGACATTTAAGAAAAATTATTGATTTGATGAATGCAAAAAGCAAAACAAATCCTGAATATAGACTTGAAACTGAGCATCTAAATTACCTATTAAAAACTTGTCAAAATTTTGGCAATCTTAGTGCTGCATATAGTTCTTACGAAAAATACGTAAAAAATGGAATTGTGAAACCAGACAAATCAACTTATTTATGCTTATTGGCAACAAGTATTAAACCTGCTTCAAGTGATCCAAGATTAGCTCAAAAAATAGCAAATGATATATGGGATAGTTTGGATAAAAGCATGGATGTGCAAAATAATGATAATAACTCTGTACCTATTGATGACGAATTGGTTTGTAATATACTTGCAACATACAAAAGTAATCATCATTTAAAAGATGCGTTTAGTATTATTGATTATACATATGGAATTGGTAAATATCAATCATCATCATCAGCTTTAAATTTACCAATTACACAGGATTCTTTAAATACTATTATTAATATGTGCATTGAAGGAAGAAGATATATCTTGGGGTTAAAATACTATAACCAGATCATTGAAAAATATCCAAACATAGAACCTGATATTAGTGCTTACAATGGTTTAATGTCTCTGTACAATTCAACATATCAATACAATAAAATTTTAGAATTATTTAATGATAAAATAAAAGATACAGAGATAAAACCAAATAGAGAAACATTCAAAGCAGTGTTGATGGCATGCCATAATCTTCATAGTTTAGATGGTGTAAAATATTTCATTGAAAACTACTCGGAAATAGGAATTGATTTCAAAGAAATAGATATAATAGAATTGATGAAGTCATCTATTAAGCGAGCCAGAATTAATGGAAATCCTGATGATATTATTTGGTTACTGAATAAATTAGATGAGGCAGATCCTGTCAATGTCCAAAATAAACAACTCCCCCAACTTAAAAACATGAATAAACCTTTATACCTAACTATCATTAATCTTGCTTACGATATTGTATTAAAGGCAGAGAACTTGTCAGAAGATAAAAAAATTCAATGGCAAAAAGACAAAAGGTTTTTTGAAGAAAAATATGCAGAGGTTTCTGATAAACTTGAAAAAATATTACAAGACCAAATGATAAATAATATTAAAACTCCTACAAAATCTCTACTAGACAATAAACTAAAACAAATGCCTGTGTCAGCACCACCTTCATCACAAAGACAATTCAATGCAAAATATAATGAACAGTTTGGAAATCATTATAAAAATTTAAGAAGACAAGAAAATAATTGGGAAGCAGTAGCTGGGTAAGTGTTTTAAGGATGGTGGTGGTTATCACCCACCACTTGTCATTACTCTAGTTTATATATAAAGATTGGTGGTTATTGCAATCGTTGCCATGTGTCATCACACTAGTTAACTATAAACTTTTTTTTTTATTAGTGAAAATAAAGAAAATGAAGATGAAAGGGTATTTATTCAATAAATTATTATTTTAGTATTCAATATTGTAAACACTAATTCAACATAAAATAATTTTATTCTCTGCACAAACAATTATCCTCTTTAGAGTTGGAAAAGGAAGGCTGAGGAGTTGGAATTGGAGGTAATAAATTTGAAAGAAAAACTAAAAAGTTTGGAGAAAGGTAAAGATCTTGAATGTAAATGTTGGGTTATACATTGAAGGCTGATAAATATTCTAGTTATTATAAAAAATGTCAATCATTCACTGATTCATACAAAAAATTATTTTCCACTCATTCCATTTCATTTATTTATTTATTTGTTCATGAGACATTTGGTATATTGTTTGCAACTTTGACTAATCTGTGCTTTTTTTTTTATCATCCTACATCATTTTTGTAATTATAGTTGATGATCTAAAGGAAGAGAAACCTGGGAATAGAGAGTTATATAAGAATTCAGATTTATCTTCAATGGCATTTTGTTTCTTTAACCCTGCTCAATTGTGGTACCTAGACATTTCCCCGACAATTACATTTTGTATTACAATATTTATTTGTTTCCCTGCCATGCCATAGCCAGCTAAGTTTATCAAACCATTTAACTCTATTAACCCATTCATTAGGCGACTAAGCTGTTTAAGTCAGTTAGGCCATTTATTAGCCAATTAATATTAAATATAGTTAAAAAATCTTGTTGGAGAAATGTCCTGTCAGGGAAATGTATTTGTTGGGGAAATGTCCTGTCGGAGAAATGTCCTGTCGGTGAAACATCTTGTCAGGGAAACGTCCTGTCAGTGAAACAGTGTTGGTGAAATGTCCTGTCAGGGAAACGGTTGTCAGGGAAACGTACCAGACCCCTCAATTGTTGACACTAACTGATATTTTATACAGATCTGAATCATGCTTTCCAAATTGATTTCAAGGACCATGCCAATTATATGTCATTTTTAGAGAATCAATTAAGCAAAGTTTCCAATTCTTCTGAGAATTACTACAATTACTTACCTGTTGTTCAATCATCAGGATATGGTAAAACAAGGTCCATATGTGAGCTTGTAAAATCACATCCTTTAATATATATATGTTTTCGTGATAAAGGTTCAACTGGATATCCTCCAGCAACACCAAAGAGTGATGTTATGCTAAAAGAAAAATTAAAGAAGCAACAGGTATAGAAAGTGCGGAAAAAATGGCAAAGATATGGCTTAAATCAATGATATTTGTGTTTTATGAGATGAAATTGGAAGTCTTCAAAATTATTGACAAATGCTGTAAGATGATATATTCTTCTCTGCTAATGTTGTGATATGTGATTAACATGTTATTGTTTAATGTTTTTTTAAATAATAGGAGCTGGTGAACAATTTCTGGGAGAAGGTTCATTCAACAAAAGAGATCTTAAAATCAAACTGGGATTAAGGTTTCTGGTTCAAACTGTTTTCTCAAAGCCCAAACTAGTTTGGCAATTTGGGCTTCTCAATATTTTTTATAAGCATGAACATTAAAAAACTATATGAATCAACTTGTTTTAACTTAAACAACTTTAAAATAATTTCGCCCAATTTTGGCTAATAACAAAAAGTAGTTGGGCTTATAAAAAAATAATTTTTGCCCAAAGTATTTGGGCAATTTCAGCTACTAATAGAAACAGTTTCGACCAGAAACCTTAATTGGGATGCTCAAAGTTTTGAAAAAATTGATAACAAAACTACAAAAAAAATAGCCATTTTCTTTGATGAATCTTCAGCCTTTCTTGGTATGATTTTATTTCTATTTTAGAACAGGTTGAGATTTATTCTTATATCAAGATTTTATTTTTTTAATAGATATTAAGATAAACCAAGCTTATAAAGATAATCAAGATAATGATAATAAACCTTTTTGAGCAATTCACCGAGCTTTATATTTCTTTTCAAAATATGCTTATGGCATTCTTACTGATACAAATTCTTCTGTTGCTAACCTTGCACCATCAAAAGATAAAGACAGTTCAGTAAGTGTACACAAAATAATATTCCTATGGCAAAATGACAACTTTACAAGTTATTAAAGTTTTTTAATTTTTGGTTTTACAGGCAAGGAAATATGATTGTAATATCCACAAACCATTTATTTACATAGTAACACAGGATTGCTTAAGGTATGATGTCTCATCACTTTTATTTGAAATGGTTTACATGCATTATTATTTGCTTCTGATAACTTTTCTTACAACTTGGTTTTATATAGTGGCATAGACCAGATTCCACATGATGAAGATATCTCAGCACATGATATTATTCAGTTTGGTAGACCTCTTTGGGCATCTAATTGGGTAGCTAGCAAACATTCAAATAATCAATTTAAATTTCGTGATGTAATAAATCTTGCAAAAGCCAAACTTCTTGGAAGTACCTCTAGCTGGGATAGAGGTAAATTTAATAGTCAATGGAAGAGGACTGTCACTCTTGCATTAATTGCATGCACTGCTGCTTTATATGTCTCCCAGAATCAAGCATTGCACCAGAACTTTTTAGGGAGCACATGGCTACTCTGATTGCAATTGACAAAGATTACAAAAATTATATTATCACATACCCTTCTGAACCTATACTTTCAGAGGCTTCATTGGAACTAATATCAGAGGGAAATATTTGGAAAGAAGTTCTTCAAGAATTAGATTTCACTTTTCGATCAGGTGGTATTCTTGATGCTGGCAGTCAAGGTGAGCTTGCTGTAAGGTTATTATTGTTGAATGCCTGGCATCATCTGGTCCTCTCAAAAAAGTCAATTAACTCTAAGGTATGTATAAGCTGGCATTTCTTAATTATCACTTTTTTTTATTGTGTTCTCATCCTCACTATTATATGTATAGGTGGCATTTTCTTCTCGATTTCCAGTTATTGATTTCCTTCAAGAACTTTTTGGTGGTGCATTTCCAAAAGAAAAGTTTTCCCACTTCAATGATTTTTTGTTAGAATTTACACATCTCATTCCAGTCACATATGTACCAGTTAAAGAAGATCTTATTCCAATCTATAAATGATGTGGTGCTGTGTTATGTAAAAGAAATCAAAAAGGCATAGATTTAATTATGTGCAATAAAAATGTAAAAATAGGAACAATATTAATTCAGGTATAATTCTAAATATTATTCTTAGTATTAATTCTATTTCTACATAATTGACATTACAGTATTATTCATAGACTAAGAATCATGCACAAAGAGACAGTAAAATAAAATATGAAGTTGGATCTCCACTTTCACCAAATGTTACATTTGAAGATAGTTTAAAGACTAGTGCTGTAATCCAAAAAAGGAAAAAGGAGGTTGCAAAAGTAGTTGCAAAGGTAATTGCAACCACTTTTTATATGCCATAAATACAATTACTACCATCATCATAATTTACAGCACTAGTCTT